CAGCTGCTCTACCCCAGGGGTAGGCAAGAAAAGCCTGGTCTGCTGGGGGGGGCACTAGCTTCACCCCCCCCAGCAGACCAGGGAGATGGGGTGGTGGGACCGCCCAAGTCCTCCACGGCTTTGCTCCGTCTCCCTGGTCTGCTGACCTGGGAGACGCGGAGCAAAGCCGCAGAGCACGCGGGCAGCGGAATAGTCCAGGCACGCTTGAGCTGTCCCCCTGCGGGCGTGCTCCAAGGCTTTGCTCCCCGTCTCCCTGCAGACCAGGGAGACGGGGAGCAGCTTTTCTCGCCCCGGAGGATGGGGGCAGCGGACCGCGGTGCATTTGGGCGTCCCGCTGCTCCCGTCCTCCGGGGCGAGAAAAGCCCCGTTCGTAACTGCGGATCCGACATAAGTCGGATCCGCGTAACTCGGGGACTCCCTGTATTCCCTTTTTCTCTCCGCACTGAAGAGATGTCTTTCACATTTCTGGCATCTGTTGAACACCAAATCTCCCTCCCCCAAGAGAGGAAACTGTATTGAATATTCTGTTTGCTGGCCTTGCCTTTTTGTCTCCATGATGACTTATTTCCTCCTAAAGACAGATCTGTCAGCAAGTTGCCAGGCTGATTGAACTAGTTATGGGGAAGGCAGGTCACATTAGACACACAGTTCACGAGAGGAGCTATGGGTAGGACTCTGTGGTCTTACTCCCTTCCCTGCCTCCCACAGCCAGTACCCTTCCTCTATCATTGACATAACACACTCCCTATTCTCCTCACTGGTACTGAACTAGTTCCACAGTGTCATGCACTGGGAATCAGCTAATTTTTTTAAAGATGAAGAACAAACCTTAAAACTATGAATGAGTAGTTCTTATGGTACCATTCGTCTGTCTCCTATAGATCAGCTTATCGAGGCAAATGGCCTGTGCTTATACATGCTTGACACTTGAATTTTAGTCAGAACAGGACTTTCTGTAAATCAAGGGCTTTAGTAGCAATTGCTATAAATACTAAATCTGGAGTGGGAAAAATATAAAAATGCATAGGTTTTTTTTAAATTCAGAAATGGGAAAAACTTGTGCATAGTGTTAACTATTTGTCCTCTCACAGTCCACTGTGATAGCAAGGTCTACTGTCTTGTAAATTGCTCAAAGAACTAGAAATCATTGGCAAATTTTAGAGACCACATAAATTGTATAATTTATGAGATGATGAGACGAAAGTTGGAGAAATGTATTGCTATCAGAATTTGCTGTTAACTGTCATCTGAATTTTAAACCTATTTTAATGCAGTTTTGTCACTAAGAAATTAAAGCAATTAATTGATATGTGACCTACACCCATAACTCGCAATACATTTCATCTGAAATCTTCCATGGTGTTGATGTGCTAGTGAAAATATAAGTTGTCAGGCATTTTTGTTCTGTTATCTTTGAGATGTATGTTTTCTAAAAACAGGAGGGCTTAAATGGAAAACAGAAATGCTTACGTATAATAGTTTCTGTGGCTTGTAAGAGTGTTAAAATATAAAAGGGAGAAGCTATTCAGATGTGTTAAGTAGATGATTGAATTCTCTCAAAGCATAAGAAAAACTTGCTTTGTATCTGTAAGCAGGAGCAGCCACATGATCTGGATTTGGATATCTGTTTGAAATTCATCTTAAAATTAATAGTAAATCATGCAGCCTTTTTTTATTTAATCTTTTTTATTTAATTGTATTATGAATTGTAAGAAATGAATTTGGTTTCAGTCCTGGAAATAACTTTTATTTTCTTATCAATGGAGGTTATTAAAGGAAAGTCTCGGTGGAAATTCAAAAACAACTATGATTGCCACAATAAGCCCTGCTGCCAGCAATGTGGAGGAAACTCTTAGCACTCTTCGATATGCAAAACAAGCTCGCTTGATAATCAACACTGCTAAAGTAAACGAAGATGTGAATGCTAAATTAATTAGAGGTAGGGTGGGATTCTTTCAACTTAATTGTGTATGATAGAGGTTGTTATAGTACTAGCAGTAGGATTGTGGTAATTAGGGTGTAAAATTAGCATTACCCTCATATTTCTACTTTCCCTCCCTCCTTGTTCGGTTTACTGATGGGATTGGGTTACCACTGCTAATTATTTTTGGTATTCATATAGATGTGGTTTTATGTAGAGAGATAATGGGACTGATGACAAAGTAGGATTTTTTTTTTTTTACTTATTAGGTGACTGCTTTTTTTCTTTGTTTACATTAAAAATAAAAATATAAGTAGGTATGAACTCTGCAGAAGAAATAAATATAAACAAAATAAGTATTTAACTGGAATGAAAAATAAAAAGACCCATGATGTAATATGAGAGAGCAAACCAGTTATTGTTTTATAAATTAATGGTTCTTGAAAAACATTTATGCAGATTTAAAAAACCTGGCAATACTTAACTGCAATCTGTCTATATGATCAATTGAAATCTGATGTGTAGTATAATAAACTACCTTCAACTCTCTGGTTGATCAGTTAATTTAGCTAATCCTTCCTTGATACATTTTCAATTGGTGGGACCTGTGTGTTTCAGAGAATGGTGCAATATAAAAGTGAAGTGTTGACTAACGAAAGTGGTTTGCCATATATTAAGCATGCAGTTTAGGAGATTATTTCATCTCTCACGTTTCAGGAATAGTCATGTTAAATAAAAAGTGTCTCTCTCCCTAAAAATAACAACAAATGCAGACTTTTGTGTAGGGATGCAATAGTGTAGTTGATTAACCAATAAGCAAAAGCTTATAGGTTAATACTATGGACCAGTGGTTCTCAACCTTTTCAAGCTTATGGAACTGTTTTCAGTGTATTAACATTTCACAGACCTCCCCTCCCTGTAGGAGTAAGGAAAGGAAAAGAAAAGTAAGGATTGGGCCCACAGGTTGGGAACCACAGTTACAGACTATATGCATCTTCCCCTCCCCCTTCCCCGGGCCAGTACATTTTTTAGTGGCATGGCCAGCAGCCTATGTCAGTCCTGGCTTGTGATGGGTCCAGGACCTTCCCATGCTGCAGCTCTGCATTTAAGAGGTGATAGGCAGCTGGTCCACGAGGGGAGCTTGTTTTCAAACTGGCTTCCCTCGTGGACCAGCTCCTACCCTGGCACTCCACACTGCTGCCTCTGATAACAGAGGCAGCAGTGTGGAGTGGCAAGGGCTCCTTCAGGAATGGGGCTGGATTGCACTGGCTGCCAGCACCTGCCCCGCTCCCGGGGACTATAGAATAGTTGAGGAACCTATAAGAATTCATGAGGTTACTTGACTATTGATTTAACCAGTATTTAACATCCCTACTATTGTGCCTGGAGGGTTGTATTAAAGCTTAGAAAGGATACTTTCTAAATAACACACATTCTCTGGTATTTTGCTAAAATTAGGATAAAATCCTCACACTTTGTGTTTTAAATTTTTTTTTTACTTATTAAAATAATGCTTAATGTAAGATACGATGTTTAGTAAAAAAGATGTTATGTTTTTGTTTTTCACCTGTAGAACTGAAAGCAGAAATTGAGAAACTGAAAACAGCTCGGAAAAGTACTCTTAATTCAGATCCTGAGAAATATAGCCAGTGTCTTCAAGAAATAACATCGCTAAGGGTAAAACTACACCAACAGGAGAGGGATATGGCAGAAATGCAAAGGTGCAGTAGTCATTAACATCTTCTGAATAGTAAGCAGCAGTCTTGTAGATCAGGGATATTTTATTCCAATAAGTAATTTATTTTTATTTCTTTTCCTAATATGCTAAGGGCTTGGAAAGAAAAGTTGGAACAAGCAGAACGGAGGAAATTTGAAGAAACAAAGGAGTTGCAGGTACACTTTATCCACAAAAATTAAACCAGTATAGATTGTTTACCACCAATAAACCTCTTAATGTATAGAACTGGGGTTGTACTAAGAATCACTTTTCTAATCTATATTCCTTTTTTGTGCAAGAAGCAGTTAATAATGTTCATGGTCTTCAGTGCCTTAAAATTAAATACCTACAGCACAGTAGGCTGTCTTTAATGATGTACTTTTGATAAATGTACACAAACTAGAAGACTTACCCAACATTGCTTGGGTCCTTAATTATTTTTTATTTTTTGTTCTTCATTTAAATCATTGCTCTGGGGATGAGGGGTTCTGTATGCTGGCTTCCCTAGGGAGACAGGACTACCCTAGCCATCTCTCACCGCAGCAGGTTGGGGTCAGGTGAGAAGCACCTCTTCATGGCCACTGCAGCTCCAAGAGTACAGCCGCAGGAGGGGTACTTGTTCCCCCGGTGAGGGCAGGTACAGGTTCGTCTGCTCCCTGCACTCCCCAGCCTGACTGCGGAATGTACTTCATCTCACTCTCTGGTAAAGAGGAACAGCTGACAATGTTCCTGTTGAAATTGGGAGTGGGGGAGAGGAAAAGCTGAAGCCCCCTCTATCCTCCCTAAAAGACGCCTGGTGGGTAGGAGGCTCGAGCTTGGGGCAGTCCCAGACTGGGATGAGGTGGGGGAGGCTGCACAACCCCCTGCACAACCAAACCCATAATTGCTTTTAGGTTATGCTAAGAGGATGCTACATATCAAACATGGTGGTCCTAGCTTTTGTAATTTAGAATGCGTTCTTGAAAAAACTGACAGATTGACAGACTTGCTCACTTACAGACAAACTCTCTCAAATGTATAGTAGCTAAATCTCTAATGTTTTCTTTCTGAATCCATCACATAGAAAGCAGGAATTACATTCAAGATGGACAATCGTTTGCCAAACCTTGTCAATCTCAATGAAGATCCCCAGCTCTCTGAGATGCTGTTGTATATGATAAAAGAAGGACAAACTACAGTTGGAAAATACAAACCAAATTCTCATCATGATATCCAGCTCTCTGGAGTGCTTATTGCTGATGATCACTGGTACGTGGTGCCCCACAATGAAAGGTCCTTCATGTGGCTATGTGGGCCCTTATTGCCCCCCACTCCCACCCAAGGCTGGTTCCACTCTGGCTCCCTGAGAGCAGGACTGGTAGGGGCAGCCAGCCCCGCTCCTGGGGAGGCAGCTTTGCTGCCTCAGCGAAGCTACCTCCCTGGGAGCAGGGTTGGCAGCAGCCCTTGCTGCCTGGCTCCTAGGGAGGTGGCTTCTCTGCCTGCAATGCATGTAAGCGCTGTGATTTTTAGTGGTTTCACAGTTGCATTTTTACATCCCTAGTCTCACTATAGAGCAGTGGTCTCCAACCTTTTTACACCCAAGATCACTTTTTAAGTCTCAGAACAGGCGAAGATCTACTGCCCCGCCCCTTCCTTGAAGCCCCGCCTACATTACATGAGGAAATCTAATGTAAATGCACTGCGCAGGTGCGCAGTTCAGAGAGGGCTCAAGAGCTACTCTTGGAGCCCCTGAGATCTACCGGTAGATCGCGATCTACTGGTTGGTGACCACGGCTATAGAGTGAACCTGGGCTAGCTTAGCATAGCTGGAGTCTTCCCACTGTAAAGGGCTATCTGTGACAGACCCATGTAAATGCATTCACAATGGTGCTGTATTAGCCAGTCATAAGGAAGTGGATTTCTCATGGGATATCTTATGCCTCATATTGCTGCATTAACCTGGACTGCTGTGTGAAATAATTTACAAGGTGCTCATCTTGTATCTCTCATCTCACATGGAGCTGCTGTTTGCCCAGGATGACAGCCATTATGTGGCCTCTTTTTGGGGATTCAGTGAAAGTCACTCTGTGTTGGTATAAAAAACTATTTAAAAAGATTCAATATATGTATATACGTACATATATAAGTATATGTATATAAGTAGAGAGATGTGCATTCTTATATAAGAATATCAGGATATGTATATGCGGTTCATTTTCAGTCAACAGGTTTCAGTCTCTCCTCAGTTATGAATTACATTGATTGAAACTCCCCAGATGAAATAAATTTAATTTCTGAGGTGGAGTTTTATCTTCGCCAAATTATAGAAATACTGTGTAATGTGCAGCTCTCGTGTTCCCTAGAACCACTTATGTAATACTGTACAAGAAATGTAAACAACATTTCCACATTTAAAAAAAAAAAAAAAAAAGCATCTGAAGAAATGTGGTATAATGTGAAGTCCTCTTCATAAAATTTTCCATAACCTCCTCTATTTTAGCAGCAAAGTGTGTTTAGATGCAAAATCACCTCATTCCAAAGTGATGATTGCTAAAAATCCATGTTGTTGAGTCATATAGTGCAATATCAGAATAGTGTGAACTGTATAATCAATATTCGGGGGTGGGAGGAAATTCAATGTCATATTATTTAAAGCGTGAATTTTATGGATATGTAGCTTAATGCTAGCTTTTTTTTTTTTTTTTTTTTTGGTTTTGTTTAAGATTAGTTATTGCTGTCATATCTGATGTTTCTCACTTTCAGTGTTATCAAAAATATTGACGGTAGGGTGAGTATTATGCCACTGGGAGAAGCAAAGACATATGTTAACGGGAAACACATTTCAGAGTCAACAGTTATGCATCATGTAAGTTATCCATTGTTGCTATAGAAATATATTTATGCATGGCTTTGCAGACACCTGACATGAATGGTAAATTATCTGTTGATTACTGATATGAGAGAGCTCTTGAATTGCTCATCATGACAGATAATTCAATATTTTTACTTTTTTCTAATTTTGATGCATTATATAGTTGATTTTAAGGTTAGAGACTGATAGTGTGTGTCTATTTTGCAGGGTGACCGAGTGATTCTTGGTGGAGACCATTATTTCAGGTTTAATCACCCAATAGAGGTTCAGAAAGTAAAAATACCGTCTTGTGGAACTGTTCTTTCGTGTGACGGTCCAAAAGATTTTGAATTCGCAAAAAATGAACTTTTGGTTGCACAGAGGTCGCAGTAAGTAGTATGGCATTTTCAGATTAAAAATAAACTACTCATCTGCTGATGCATCATGCTGTCCTCAAGAAATATAAAATATGGGCATATAAACTGCACAAAAATAAATGAAAGTAAAAAAAAAAAAAAAAAAAAAAGACAAGACAAGGACACTTTTTCCTTCTCCTAAAATCCAAAATTGAAGTTGAATACTCACACAATATTACAATTCTAGTCATGAAATATTTATTATTATATGTAATTAATACATAATGCTTATTATGACACGTTTCCATGATGAGCCTGAATTTTACTCTGAAATCTTTTTCTCACATAGAATCTTTTTGCTTGCCAAAGGAGTAAATTGGGAATCTATTTCACTATGAAATCAGACATTCATAGAGGGTTATTCCAAATACGGATTATGATATGTTTAATGCAATGCAAAATGGGTAAATGTGAAGCTGAGGGATAGCTTCTTTAATTTCAGGAAGTTGGCAGTGGCTTTCAATATTTTTCTGTTTCTGGGGTCATTGGAAGCACACAGATGAGTGGTGGTGACGGCTCTCCCAGGAACTGCAAATAGACAGGGAAGATACGGGGTAGCTATTCATAGGCTTCCTCTAATCAACACCCAATTGAGTTTTGGCTGCAGGCTTTCTCTTTCCACTCTGATGAGGTCAGTGTAGGAACACAAAATACTTTTTACCCACCTTTTGATATAGCAGCAACAGCACTGGGAGAATGTTGAACAACATTTGTGTCCAGCTGTAGATGGTAGCATGAGGTGCTGAGGTGAGACTAGTTTGTGTGATGTGGTATCCTATTGGCCCATTGAAAACATTGCATCAGCACACGAGCCCCACCCAGGACATTTGAAATTCTTTGTTGACTTAAACTTGGATTCTTACAATCCATATGCCTATAGATTTGTGTGTTTCTATAGCAGATGCTATTTTAGAACTGGTCTTGATAAAACAATTCTTGAAATCATGTGTAGTGTAAAAGGCATAAAATAAGGAGGCTGAGTCTTTTTTTTTTTTTTCCTTCCTTCGTGTGTGTATATGTGTGGTTTTTTTTTTTTTTTTTCCCCCTGTGGGAGATGGTTGATGAAGGGGTAGAATGGAAGGGAGAACATATAATCAATAAACTACAAAAACTTAGAATACAGATGACAATTAAAATGAGATACTAAGAAAGGGGAAAAGCTAACATTTTTCATTTAAATTGCTCGCTACTAGACTAGAATCAGAAATTGAAGAGGCACGACTGAAAGCCAAGGAAGAAATGATGCAAGATATCCAAGTTGCGAAAGAGATGGCTCAACAAGAACTTATTTCTCAAAAAAAAATCTATGAATGCAAGATAAAATCACTAGAAGCAGAACTGGTAAGATGCTCTTGCTTCGATGGACTATGTAATTTTCATGCTATCTCTCTCATGCCTCAACATCTGAATCTGTGGCTTTATCTTTACTCTCCTTTGAAGCACTTACAAAAGTCCACTTATTGCACAAAATATTCTGTAATAATGTACTCTTTTTGCATAGGGGTTTCATTCTTTCTCATATTTGCTATTCTGCTAGTCTACGTGTACCTTGGAACAAGGTCTGTTACAAGCAGACTACAATTTTCAGGGTATGCTGGTTCTTCGAGTGCTTGCTCATGTCCATTCCATGTAGGTGTGTATGCGGAAACTTTTTCTCTCATCAGTACGCATTGGACCAGCCAGGGTGCGGCACTGCTACATTGGTGCGTATATACCCCTGCTGGCCCTCCACCACCTCAGTTCCTTCTTGCCGCCCACTATGCTTGCTGGAACTCTTCTCGCTTGCACTGCAAGTGCCTCCTTAGCGGTTCACTTGTAAATGGTTTGCATTTAAATAGTTAATTGTAGTGCACTAGTTCAGTTAGTGTTAGCAGAAGTCTCCCATGATCGTTCCCCCTCCTCCCCTTGAGGGGGTTGCCTGTGCCGCAGTTTCAAGCCTTGTTCTCAGTGCCTAGGACCAAAAGAGAGGGATTCCAGACTCCAACTCCTACTTATAGAGTTGGCTTTCCAACCTTCGGCACTGGCTTCAGCTCCGGTTTGAAGTGCACCAGCATCAGTGTGTAAACTGTCAGCAACTCTGAGACCTTCGGTGGCACTGGGCCCCAGTATGGCACCTCAGCACCACTCTCAATCACCGGTGCTGCAGAAGAAGACCCACAAAGGCAGGTCTCCATCCTGGTATGAGCACAGAGCACGTCTGCAAGTAGGACACTCCGTAGCTCCATCATGGCTGATGCATCTGGGTGCTGGTTAGGTGTCAGTCAAGCTCGGTGAGGGTGGGCAGTCTGGACTTACAGGACATGCCTGTGGAGGATGCAGCCCTCCGTACTGGGCACCTTTGCTGCTGCTTGAAATTTAATAGAGCTGACGTCGTCACCAGGCTCGGCACTGACAGGAGCCCTGTGCCTTGTCACCACAGACAGACATTCAGTACTGATGACCTCACCTACCCATCTGGCACTGGTGCTTCAGACACTGCCACAATCTCCATCCCTATCACCAGGCACTCCTCAGATACACATGCTGCCTCCATCTCCACTGTTCCATAACTGGGGCAAACCAATGGCCATGGCCCACCATCAGGCTTGGCACTGCTCACCGGCATCATCATATGCATCAGCTTTGGTCAGTCTCAAAATAATCTTCAGAGGTAGAGTCAGTGCTACTGAGAACCTCATCCCGCAGGTCTCAATCTCGATACTATAGCTTAGCATCTCACCAGGCATTGGCCCCCACAGTGGCAGCCTCAAAGTCCAGTGGCCATTTTGGACCCCATGGGCCTATCCTCAAACCTAGAGGCAGACAGTTTCTGGTGGGGTCTGCTCTTGGCACTTAGCCTAAGGGCAGATACAATCTTGGATAGGGTGCCTCTGGAGTAAAAGCAGACCCTATCAATTATACCCCTTCCTCAGGCACAAGCATCAGAACGCTGACCGAGCCTGTAGAAGGAGGATGGCAGATCCACCCAGGCCATGTCTAGCCTGGCAACAGTCCTGGTCCCTCCTGAGACCTAAGAAAGCCATCAGGGTAGGGTACAGCTGTCACCTGGGGAAATTATGGAGGACTTGGACCCTATGGTGGACACTCTTACGATGGATGCTCCTGCTAACACTCTTACGATGGATGCTCCTGCTAACATTTTTCATTTAAATTGCTCGCTACTAGACTAGAATCTAGACAGCCAAAATCTCCAAGCTGCTGTGGCAAACCTCCACAGAAGGAGGTGGAGCGATGGTATTATGTGCCACAATCTGGCCCACCTAGCAGCACTTTTGGCTTTTCATCCGGGAAAGTGGGGTGGAAAGGTTTTCACAAATGTTTGTTGGGCCATTCCTGAAGGGGACGGAGAGGTTGAACCCCCATGTCCAAGAGCCCCTACTACAGTTGGATCTTAACCTGGTTCTCACAAGACTCATGGGCACCTGGTTTGAGCCATTAGCTACATGCTCCCTAATGCACCTCTCCTGGAAGGTTGTTTTCCTGGTGGTCATCACGTCAGCTAGAAGGGTATCAGAGTTAAGGGCCCTCACATTGTACACAGTGTTCTTTAAGGACAAAGTTAAGCTATGTCCTCACCTAGAATTCCTGTGCAAGGTGGTATCACCATTCCACGTGTCGCAGGACATTTTCTTACAGGTGTTCTACCCAAAACCTCATTCCGCTCACAAAGAACAGGGGTTACATGCATTAGATGTGAGGGGAGTGTTAGCGTTTTATTTGGAAAGGACAAAACCATTTTGTAGGTGCATGCAGCAATTTGTTTCAATAGCAATGATGAAGAAGGGCCTTCCAGTATTGACCCAGTATCTATTATCATGTTTTACATCGTGCATGCTATGACCTGGCAAAAAGACCGGCCCCTCCGATCACAGCCCGTTCCACTAGGGCACAAGCCTTGTTTGGCCTTCCTGGTGCAAGTACCCATCCTAGATATCTGCAGGGCAGCCACTTGGTTGTTAGTGCACACATTTACCAACCATTATGCAATTGTGCAGCAGGCCATGGATGAGACAGCCCTTGGTTGGGTGGTATTCCAGTCCATATCTATTTAGTCTCTGATCCTATTTCCATAGGTAGAGCTTGAGAATCACCTACATGGAATGGACATGAGCAAGCACTCAAAGGAGAAAAAATGGTTATTTACCTCTCCTAACCGTTGTTCTTCAAGATGTGTTTCTTATGTCCATTCTAAATCCCACCTGCCTCCTCTTCATCAGAGATTTCTGGCAAGAAGGACTGAGAGGGTGGAGGGCAAACACAGGTATATATGTGCCAATATAGTGGTGCAACTCCAGGAGGCTCCCTGCCTGGCCAAATGGGTAATACTGAGGGAGAAAGCTTCCAGAACTCATGCATGTGGTGCGTGCACATCTACATGTGTTGCTCATGTCTATTCCATGTTGAACAACAGTTATGAGAGGTAAATAACCATTTATTTTAATATAACCAAGCATAATGTATGGTGGCAAAGATATACATTTATGATGCTTTATTGCTCTGCAAGTGTTCTATTCGATAATACAAGTTGAACCTCTCTGGTCCAGCAACATCTGTGGTCTGGCATGGTTTTAGTTAGCTGGATGTCCACTTACCATGGGTGTGGCCAAGTGTTCTGCGGTCCCATACAATTTGTTTACAGCCACCAGTTCTGGCTCTCTGTGTTCTGTGATTGCTCTCATTTTCCCCTAAATGTCTTCTAAAAGCTCAGTAAACAGCGAAAGTGTTTATAATGTTGCTAGACAATATTGATCTCCCATGGGTCGGCAAATTCTTTGGTTCAGCACTGGTCAGGTCCCAACAATGCTGGACTAGAAAGGCTCAACCTGTAGTTGATGTTTGTTGACTGGGATATAACCTCCCATTGCAGAGAGTGTATTTCTCTCTTAATTTATAGTGATCATTAATCTCTTATGGACTGAAAGAACGGACTTTAATATCCATCTTTAGTGGATGGGTTGACATGATTTTTTTTTTCCGGTATCCCATTCATTCTGTCCTTTGATTTTCTAGAGAGAAGAATCTCATAAGAAGCAAATTCAGGAAATGAATAACCAACAGAGTGCTAACAAAATACAAGAACTGGAAAAAGCAAAGCAACATCTTGAGTTGGAAGTACATTTCAGCAAGAAGCGTCTGGAAATGGAGACACTAGCCACCAGACAGGTAATCTGAAAACCATGAATTTTGTCTGATAAATCATATATTTAAACAAACCATTGCATTTTTATTTAACTTAATTGGCTCTCTTAAAAATAGTCCTCTTCAAAATGATTTTAGTATAGATATATCATTTACCCTATGGAGCTCCCCTCTTATTAAATCAGCTGCTATTTTGGGAAATGAGAAATAACGAGGTCTATAATCTCTGTCTATATATAAAAAAGTTTTTCCTGCCAGATGACAGAATATTCCTGCCTGGCAACAGAATGACGTAGTTACGTCATCAGCGTCAACAGGCTGTGTGAAACAAGTGGCTAGAGGGGGAAGTTGGTGAGTGTAGCTAGCAGAGGGTGCAGCCCCCTAGTTGTATGTAATGGTGGCTCATTCGCTTATCTTCCAAATTTAGGGGAATGTTGAGTTTCCCAAAAATGATAGCCTCAGGCGTAAGTATGTAGCCATGCAGATACAATGCCTAGAATGCTCAGTATTTGGAAATATCTGAGAGAGCCAGAATATTTTCAAAAATTGTTTAATTGGATAAAAACATGAAAGGAGGTTGGATAGTACTCCTGAAAATGAAGGATTAATTCTAAATAGCATGAATAGATATAATATCTTACCTTACATTTTGACCCATGTTAGGTTTCTATACGTGCTAAATACAGTAGACACTAAAACTTAATTATTTTTCATAACAACTAGTGCAAGTTTTTTCATCTTCCAACTTCTGGGATAATTATTTTAAAAAGAAAAGAATCAATATAAAATTTTGTTCCCTTTTTCTTGAATTCAGTAGTTTACTTTTAATAATAAATGCTCCAAGAGATGCATCTGAGCAAGAAATGAAAATTGACAAAATTTATGAGGCTTAACTGATGCAGAAGATGGATCAGATTAGAGAACTGTATGGTAGAGCTTGTACCACCACTATCTTGTGTTTCTTTTAAAAGCATTTTCGTGTACTTCTCTTATTTAGGCCTTAGAAGATCATACTATTCGTCATGCAAAGATTCTTGAAGCTTTGGAGGCTGAGAAGCAGAAAATTGCCAAAGAAATAGAAACTGTCCAGCAGAATCGCGGAAATGGGAATAAAACTAGTACGTGGTGCGGTGGGAGTGTAGTTGTGTGTAGTGTAACTTTCATTCCATTTATTATTTCCTCTCCTGCCAGGCAGTGGAGAGGCTTTCAGTCCTTCTCTTCCCACTTTGTGGGAGGTTTACTTCTGACAGAGAGATCTCTTTAGTCTCAGTTTTCACCATACTTCTTGTGAGAAAAATGCTGCACTTCTGGCTGAGATGGGATTCAAGTAGCTTACTCTGTGATCCTAACATGTTCTCTGTTGTGTTTAAGTTACAAGATCTTTACTTCATTGTTAGGAAGCAGTCCTTGTCCTTCTTGAAACATGCACATCAGGTGGGGCTAGAGTGATATTTTGATCACGTTTGGTTTGGCTGGGTGAACATACAAAAATATGTACATTAGTGTACTTCCTCAGCAGACCTAAAGATTCTTCCATTATCACATGGCAAAGAGCAGGAAACAAAGTTATGGAAGGTGGATCACGAGAGCAAGAAGGCAGAATATATTTTTCTGAAACTATGCTGATAAAATATCTGCCATGATTTATATAGCATTCCAGTTCTGAAATATCCTTTGAAAATGTTAGTTGTCTTTTTTGTGTTTTCAGTTCCATGAGACTGCCTTGTCCACTGAACTCACTCCTTTAAAGGTTTCCTTTTGGGGGGGGGGAGGGGGCTGGGCTGTAATTATTTCATTATATTTCATCGAATTGTCCATAAATGTATGTACTCTTTTTTTATTTAGTTAAGCCTAACTGGGATTCCATGAAACTCTCTCTCATGATCAAGGAGGCCAATGCCATTAGTAGCAAATTAGGAAAGCACACAGTTTTCCGCAGGTGAGTTATCTAATTCATTCATAGGGCACATGTAAAAAATAAACTTTGTTGGATGTGGAATGAGCTTTTTTTTTTTTTTCCCCTTTGTAAGACTTTTGCTTAATTGTTCTTAATTCAAACCTGTTCTTCAAACTAGCTTTCCCATGTTGAAACAAAGTATATATTATGCCCTGCTGGTTTGCAAGCTGTTTTGAGTAAACTGATTCGTAATAAGTACACAACAAAATCTTATCTTTAAGGCTTGTCAAGAGCCAGGATCTTGTGTGTTGTTTTGGAATTTCTCCCTTGAATCTGACTACAATAAAAGTAAATTTTACAGAATTAACTTGATTTTAATTAGCCCTTAATATTATTTGTTATTTGATTAGGATAAATTTCTCAAAAGTAATCTTTGTCTGCTTTGATACATTATTAGCTTCTTAGTATTCAACTATTACATGCTTTTGTTAATTTTGGTGGTGATGGTTTTTGTTTTTTTTGTAATTAGGTATGATATATCAGAAAAAGGAAATGGCACTGGATCTTCTATTCAAGTGCAGGTTTGTAACATCAAGCTGGGAATTGCAACTTTTTGGAGCCTGGAAAAATTTGAATACAAACTAGCAACAATGAAAGAAGTCTATGAGGTCTGTAACAATTGAAGAAAACTTCACTAATTGTAACTGTTTAGCTTAAGATACTGATGAAATCAAACAGGAATAGAGTCCAGAATTTGTCAGGTTTTAATGAACTAAGCGTCTCTTTATGTAGGGTTGGGGAAATCCTAATTTTTAGTAAGTTGTATGCATTTTAGTTTATACTCCATCCTTTCTCCAGGAAATGATTTCTGGACTAGGATCTCATCTTTGTAGCTGGTATCTGTGTGTATGTGCACAAACTCATACATTCTGGAAAAAAAACAACCAATTGTAAAAGGTCTCATGCAGCGTTGCCTCTAATATTTTCCTACCCCCTGAGCAGAATGAAATTTCTTATGTGCACTGACGTAAAGCTGGTGTATCACACATCATCTTCATATTGGTGCACATAACAAAATTCATGTGGCAGTAGTAGGGTCCAGGGGTTCTGAGTGTGGGAGGGTACTCAGGGCTAAGGTGCACGAGTGTGAGGGTTCTGGATGGGAGTGCAGGGTCTAGGGTGGGGCTGAAGTTGAGGGGTTTGGGGGGTTCTGGCTGAGGGTGAAGGATTTGGGGTTGGGCCGGGAATGAGAGGTTTGAAGTGCAAGATGGGCCCCAGTTTCGGAGAGGGGCTCAAGGCTGGGAATTGGTGTACAGTCTCTGGGCTGAGTGTGAGAGCTTTGAGGTGGGGCCTGGGATGAGGGCTTTGGGATGCAGGGTGGGGCCTCAAGTTGGGACAGGGGTTTAGAACTTAGCTGGGCAGCTCCCAGCTGAGGATGGGAAGGAGGGGCCCCTTTCCTTGGGCTGCAGCAGATCCATGCTAGGGCCAGCCCTGGCAGCTTCTCGGCTTGGGGAGAAAGATCTCTTCTCTGCTACAGCCTCGAGCCTCTGTGTGGGGCTTCATGAGAAGTTGCATTACTGAACAGATTGCGGGGAACTTGGGTCTCGAGTTGGGTATCTTTTTTTTCCAAATTTTCTTGGAACTCACTGGGAGTGCTTGTGTCAGTGTGCAATGAACCATGGGGACATATCCCAGTGTGTAATCCACCATTATTCAGTGCCCTCTTTTGGGTGGTAATGGCAATGCAAGTTGGCAGAAATGCAGAAATGAATTCAAGACATAATAGGTGTAATGTACACAACATAACCTTATAAGCAAGAATACATTTTAAAAAGCAAATGCAAATGTTAAAGACAATGTACTTGCTTTACAAATCAGTTATAAATGTTTATTACACTATTTCTCTTTTAACATAGCTAAAATAACTGGATTTCCTTCTCCTTTCAGAGTAATGGTAGTAACAAAGCTGATGATGTATTTTATGATCCTGATGATGAGTGGGAACCTGACCTTCGTACTACAAACGTTTCTTCCTTTTCCAGAAGGCGGTAATTTTATTTTTTGAATTTATTAATTACAAAATAACATTTTCAAAACTTTGTTGATTGGTATAATCAAATGTCTGAACAAACATGCATGTTCTGTTCTATTCTATTTTGCACGCATGGCAATAGTAATACAATAAATCAAAGTTCAAGTAGTTGTAGAATGGTTGCAGTATGCTTTTATTGCATATCCGTGACTTTCCTGTTGTGAATGTGATATACTTAGAGAGACCTAAAGGGGGAAAAAAAAGATTACTCCTTCACTTGTTACTTTGTCATATGTAGGAGGACTGAAAGATGTAGGCTTTTCTAATGCTTTTTTCCTTTTTTTCCGTACAAATATTCAGAATGTTGAGTCCACGGGTCCTTTCAGAACCCATTCACCTTATGCACACTATACCATCAAACATCTTTTCACTTGTCCTGTCTTAAAATCACAGCCCACACTTTATTTTCCACCAGTAGCGGCCAATCTCTATTGCAGGAAGATCACGGGCCCTGCTAGTGACACAAGCAACACAATGCAGTGATGAAATGAGGAATACTGAGTTTGTGAAGGACGCATGCACCTCATTCTTATGATTACATGCACAGGGCTCATACCAATTCCAAAGGGTCGCAGTCTTCCAGGTCCCATCATATCACAATCACAGCTCTTCGACCTATTACAGCTTTCCTTCTCCATTCAGTACAGCTATTCTAAATGCAGTGAATAAAGCTTGAGTACGTGTAGATAATTCCACTGCCAGCTCTGAGGGGCAAGGTTAAGGTTTTGTGGGCATTTAACTTGTACCTGAATTTTGGGGGGGGAAAATTTCCACACGACAACTTCAGGCCACATTGATACATCATAGATGGGGGTGGGATGGGGTGGGAAGGTGGAGAAAGGGAGACATCTTTAAAGGCAGACTTACTGTATTTAGGTAAAGTATAGTTTTGGGGGTTTTTTTCTATTGGGCATTTTAAAGCTTTAATATAATATTATCAAGTAAGCAGTACATTTAACTACAGAGATTAGTTATCATTTGCGTACAGCGGTTACTTTATAGTCCTACGGTTTGAAGCTGTGTGAGATTGTTTTTTGGGGGAAGGAGGAGAAAGAAGGGGAAACCATCACAGAAATGTATTATGATCTAAACCAAAACTTTTATTTTCAAATAAGGTGTTTAGGTATCAGCAGTACAAAACAGTGTCTCATTCAGAAGGTTCATTTACAATTATATAATTTAAAAGAATCAGTTTAAAAAAAAAAGTAAATTGTGTCTGAGCCAAGACCTTGCACATGAAGTTGTAACCTTGTAACATAATTTGACTGATTTGCAAACTCCTGCAAATAGTAGCTTATAATGGAAATGCTGACAGATCCTTAATTATAGCTTTGCTACTGTGCACAGATATGATACTGTTATTTCTTAGTAAAGCAGTATAGTTCAGCTGCTGTAAATCTTTATATGCATTGTTGACAGCCCAAAGTAAATTCTACCCTGGGGTTAAATAGAACATTATTCTAACCAATATTTAGACTAGAAATAAAGAAACTGACTGTCAGAATCTTTTTAAAGAACTTCTAACAGCAATATTTTTCTCATCTGAAGTCACTTACTGGACAGTACTGGAATGTTATTCCTGTGCACTGTCAGTCTGCTGTGTATTTAATCTGTTTTAAAAAACCAATATCCTGTATAAAGGTGAATTGAAAGAAAAAGCTCTTGACCTGTCAACACCTGAGTTCAAGGTTCTGTGTGTTTTCAGTAACCCTTGGTGACATCACAAATGGTGAAGGAGACTGAATTCAACATGCGTTACAGGGATTTGTGATGTTCCTTACTATAGCAGGGGAAAAAGAATACTAAACATCCTGGCATTCAGAGCAAGTAAGGATTCATTTTAAAATGTGTAGATTTACATCACACATTTGGAAAAGAATTCTGTGTACTTTTGCACTCTCCCAAAAACATGATGTTAGGTTGGTCAACCAGCAAATAAATCATTGCTCTAGGGTGGGGCTGTAGGTGACTGATCTAGTATGCAGGGTGCCCCAGGGAGAGAGGACAATCCCATCCCTTTCTCACCACAGCAGTTTGGGGCCAGGTGAGAAGCATCTGTCCATGGCAGCTGCAGCAGGCACAGCAAGTGGGAGGGGTGCATATGTGTCTCTCTCTGTCTCTGTCTCTCTGTCTCTCTCTCGGATAAATAGTAGATAGCTGTCCTTTTCTCCACACCTGCCCCCTGCTATCGCAGTTAGTTATAGCTGTCCTGGTTCCCATTTCTGGCCCCTTGCTTGCCCCTCTGTGGTAATTAGACAGTACACCCAAATAGCATAACTAAACCCTGACCTTATTTTAAGTTCTGATAATAGGAAGCTGCATACCAAATTTGGTGGTCCTAGCTCTTGCTGTCGAGGAGAAGTTCTTGAGCAAACAGATTGACTGACATGCACACATGCACGTACATTCTCAAATATATAGTAGAACTAGAAGTCTTATCTGGCGTTGCCTGGGCCCTTCAGGGAAAATGTGGAAGGATCAGGGTACGAGGATGGGGAGTGCAGCAGTCAGGATGGGCGGTTGAGGAGGGGCTCAGGAAGGGGGGCTGGGAATGTGGGGGTGGTGTGTGAGAGGGTTGGGGGGTAAGGAGATGCAGGAATCAGGGGATTGGGAGGAGGGGGAGTTTAGGGCAGGAGGTGGGGGGTGTCCAGGGGACTGCATACCCTGCCTGTCTGCTTGTCCCGAGGGGGCCATGCTGGGAAGGAGAGGCCCAGTGTGGTAGGGCACATAGGCTGGGCCTGATGGTGTTTCCCAGACCAGAGGGCAGAAGTAGGCAGGGGAGAAGGGGGAGTGCACTGGCTGGCCTGTTGCTCCCCTTCCCCCGGCCTGGTCTAGGGCTGGAGAGAAGAGGTATCTTGCATACCCTGCCTGTCTGCTTGTCCCGAGGGGGCCATGCTGGGAAGGAGAGGCCCAGTGTGGTAGGGCACATAGGCTGGGCCTGATGGTGTTTCCCAGACCAGAGGGCAGAAGTAGGCAGGGGAGAAGGGGGAGTGCACTGGCTGGCCTGTTGCTCCCCTTCCCCCGGCCTGGTCTAGGGCTGGAGAGAAGAGGTATCTCACAGGCCAACTGAGAGGGCGGATGTGCTGCGTGGTGCTGTGCGGGGTGGGTTGTGGCTCCTTCCCCACCCCACCACTGTGGTTTGGCAGGGGCCTTGTATCTTTTCAGGGAATGTAAGAAAGAAGGTTGAGGGGAGTGGGGCTTTACCGCATGTTCGCAAGGAGGTCGCCTAGGGTTTATCTTGCCCAGCAAACATGAAAACTTACAACTGCCTTTTCAGCACTAGGATTTTCCATGTAGTAGATATCATATATTAGCTAAGACGGAGGGTTTGAAAAACAAAACTGCTTTTCTTAGAGGAGACACGATCTCCGTGGTTAGTCTAGCCCAGTGGTCTCCAACCTTTTTATGCATGAGATCACTTGAATTTAAGTGCAAGCCAAGATCTACCTCAAACCGAAATACCCTTGCCCCCACCTCCTTTGTGCCCCTTCTCCGAGGCTCCACCACTGCTCACTCCATCCTCCCTCCCTCCCTCCCTCTCTCCTCCATTCTCCTTCACTTTCACCAGGCTGGAGCAGCAGGTTGGGGTGCAGGCTCTAGTCTTAAATTAAGGGAACTGAGCTGATCTTGGGGCAGGCAGCTGGGGTGCAGGAAGGGGTTCTAGGTGCAGGCTGGGAGGATGTTTGGATGCAGGGGTGCTTGGGGCTAGGGCAGGGATATGAAGGGCAGGAGGGGGTTTATGACTGGAGTAGGGTTTCAGGACATGGGCTCCGACTGGACCCTGCTTACCTTAGGTGGTTCCTGAGTGGTGGTACAGTGGGACTAAAGCAGGCTTACACCTGCCCTGCATTATCACTCCCAAAAGCATCCAGCAAACTCCATCCCAAGTCCTGTTGTGCCCCCCGCCCTGCTCTGTGGATATAGGATACAGGGTGGGAGAGTGCTTGACATCAGTGCTCCTCTTCTCCCTCCCCTGCCTTGGACAGGCTTCCAGGGATGGGGGAGGCAGCTCCAAGGCAAAGGGCAGGAGTTGCACAGCAGTAGTGGGGAGGTGCAGCTGCAATGCTGGTACTCAATGGCCTCTTGGCCAAACTAGTCAGGAACACCTGTCAGAAGCTTCAAGACCTACCAGTAGATCCCAATCCACTGGTTGGTGACCACTGGTCTAGCCTCTTCCCTGAATGCCTGCTATTGTTCAGAACCTAAGGTCTGTGCTGTGCAGGCACAGAAAGAAAAGTCATATTCCTGTTTCCTGTGACTTGATGAAGACAGCCACCCTCTTAAAGAATTCTAGGATGAGGGTGAGACTTGTAGATAAGGTGGAGTGTAGTCTAATACATTATTCATTTGATGGGAAGGAATTGAACTTGGAGGAAGCAGACTGTTGAGGAACGTAAATTCTAGTACAGGCAGTCCCCGGGTTACGTACAAGATAGGGACTGTAGGTTTGTTCTTAAGTTGAATCTGTATGTAAGTCGGAACTGGCGTCCAGATTCAGCCGCTGCTGGTCAGTTTCAGCAGCAGCTGACTTGGGGACGCTTGGGGTTCTTAAGTTGATTCTGTATGTAAGTCAGAACTGGCGGTCAGTTTCAGCAGCAGCTGACTTGGGGACGCTTGGGGTTCTTAAGTTGATTCTGTATGTAAGTCAGAACTGGCGGTCAGTTTCAGCAGCAGCTGACTTGGGGACGCTTGGGGTTCTTAAGTTGATTCTGTATGTAAGTCAGAACTGGCGGTCAGTTTCAGCAGCAGCTGACTTGGGGACGCTTGGGGTTCTTAAGTTGATTCTGTATGTAAGTCAGAACTGGCGGTCAGTTTCAGCAGCAGCTGACTTGGGGACGCTTGGGGTTCTTAAGTTGATTCTGTATGTAAGTCAGAACTGGCGGTCAGTTTCAGCAGCAGCTGACTTGGGGACGCTTGGGGTTCTTAAGTTGATTCTGTATGTAAGTCAGAACTGGCGGTCAGTTTCAGCAGCAGCTGACTTGGGGACGCTTGGGGTTCTTAAGTTGATTCTGTATGTAAGTCAGAACTGGCGGTCAGTTTCAGCAGCAGCTGACTTGGGGACGCTTGGGGTTCTTAAGTTGATTCTGTATGTAAGTCAGAACTGGCGGTCAGTTTCAGCAGCAGCTGACTTGGGGACGCTTGGGGTTCTTAAGTTGATTCTGTATGTAAGTCAGAACTGGCGGTCAGTTTCAGCAGCAGCTGACTTGGGGACGCTTGGGGTTCTTAAGTTGATTCTGTATGTAAGTCAGAACTGGCGGTCAGTTTCAGCAGCAGCTGACTTGGGGACGCTTGGGGTTCTTAAGTTGATTCTGTATGTAAGTCAGAACTGGCGGTCAGTTTCAGCAGCAGCTGACTTGGGGACGCTTGGGGTTCTTAAGTTGATTCTGTATGTAAGTCAGAACTGGCGGTCAGTTTCAGCAGCAGCTGACTTGGGGACGCTTGGGGTTCTTAAGTTGATTCTGTATGTAAGTCAGAACTGGCGGTCAGTTTCAGCAGCAGCTGACTTGGGGACGCTTGGGGTTCTTAAGTTGATTCTGTATGTAAGTCAGAACTGGCGGTCAGTTTCAGCAGCAGCTGACTTGGGGACGCTTGGGGTTCTTAAGTTGATTCTGTATGTAAGTCAGAACTGGCGGTCAGTTTCAGCAGCGGCTGAATCTGGACGCCAGTTCCGACTTACATACAGATTCAACTTAAGAACAAACCTACAGTCCCTATCTTGTACGTAACCCGGGGACTGCCTGTACAGTAAAAGCTGCACTTTCTGGAACTTAAGCATAGTTAAACTGTATTGGAAAACTGTAGAAAGTGGCAAATTTCTGACGCCGGGAAAAGCAAAGCAAAACAAAAAAAACAAAAAAAAGGAAACTGGTCGTTTAAGTGCTGGGCCACTCCTCAGACAAGTGTGCAGCACATACCTGGGGGAGGGGCAAACGGCAGCTGGAAGCAAGCAGCAAGCATCTTGGCTCCCCCCACAGCTCCCGAACTGTATTGGAAAACTGTAGAAAGTGGCAAATTTCTGACGCCGGGAAAAGCAAAGCAAAACAAAAAAAACAAAAAAAAGGAAACTGGTCGTTTAAGTGCTGGGCCACTCCTCAGACAAGTGTGCAGCACATACCTGGGGGAGGGGCAAACGGCAGCTGGAAGCAAGCAGCAAGCATCTTGGCTCCCCCCACAGCTCCCGGCACCCCCAGCAGGCCA